CCAAAGAAATTGACCCGGATGTGATTTGTCGTTTGCTGTATGACCAACATGTACACATCACTGGTCTCTGGACACCTTCGTTATTTTAGGGTTATAATCATTTTCGCTTTCTGCACCCCTGGCACATTGCAAAATTGAAGGCACAAGCAAAGTAATTTGATTGGTTCCAGGAGAAGATGACAGAGAAGCGACACCCAACTTCAAAGATATTACAATACACCGTTATGCGATCCCGAGATTCGTTTCATGTGTATTATAGGATCAAACTAGTCTTTTCGTCTTTTCAACAAGGTGTCGCACAGGGAACTTACAATTTTGCCATGTCATGTTGCAGTGATGCAGAGAGCGAAAGTGATTGTAACCCCTGGAATATTGAGGATGGTCTCTGGGTATCGCTTCAGCAAATTTCTATAGTCCACGCCACATACTGTTACTGTGAAGTCAAACGAAAAACATTAATAAACCCGATATAAATATTGTGTTTTTTTCTAAACTTAAAAAAAACCCATGTACGATATTAGTCATTGCAAATTATGAATCAAATTTAAAGCGATATTACGCTCTGTTAGTACTCGATAGGTTGTTTGCTAGTTACAAGTTCCCATCACGGCGGTACACCCTGGCCACCTGTCGCTGACTTTACCTGTGAGAGCTAACCTGTCACTCTATATCATAAGTGGTTTACCCCATCACTGTGCTAATACGGCCATTGTCGTCATGTTATTATCTGTTGGAAACTGTACTAACAGTACAAGGGGCAAGACATTTGACCCCATCTTTTTTGTCAACTCATTGTCCTGTTAACGACAAAAGCTAAATAAGTTTTATAGTTCACATTTGTTGAATAGGGATATTTCTATACAAAATATCTGACAATTAATATCGGCTTTACCAATCTGTTCTCGTGTGTGCTTGCTACGACACACAGAATGTGAGTCAATATGGTATTTAAGAAGGTATCATAAGCCGACCTCGATGACCTCAATGTAACTGACCCGGATGTGATTGCGACATCTGTTATATCATTCTCCTATCGACTCCAAATTCTGCAGGTGATGTTTATTACAGCTTGTGTGTACTTGACCACGGAACCGATATTGTATAGCAATGCTCAAGTAGATTTACTGCCGCGTTTCATTACAGGGTCGATCAATATATCCCAAGTCTCATATGATAAGGGGCCGTAACTCCCATATATCCTGATTAATAGTTACCTTAAGTGCTCTATGATGAACGATAAGGATAATGGCATTGTACAGGAGCTCTCTGTATTCAGTAACATATCTGTCTGGCAGTAAATTACAAAACAATGTCTTCATTTTTTAAAGTTAGAAGTTACAGTATGTTAAATATTTTGAAGATGAACAAAAAATCTAAATTAGATAGCAATATTTTCAAGCATTTCGTTTCTTTCTACTAAGTCTAGGCCAAGGTAGCATATATATGATCTGTAAAGTAAATGTTGATTAGGATAGAAAAGAAATCTATTGACAGACTGTTCAAATTTTAAAGACTTCCTGCTGTTACTTTGTTCTCTGAGAAAATAACTATCTCTTAGACTTCAATTGGAATGGATTGATTGCCTGAAATGTCTGTCCATTTACTGCAGCAGTGTCTCCTAAAATCTTGATTAAATTGATCGATGGCTTCTATAGTCCAACAGCAGTACGTATAGACAGCCTCACATGTCCATTCTACAATGTGTTGTAATCGTGATAGATTTCTATTAAATCCTTTGTCGACTACGTAGACTAAGGATTGATTAATTACGTAACTAATCACTGATATGTATATCGATTGGTTTTTATTATTAGATTCGTAATCGTTCGTGTGTTGGAGGATCTTGGCCTAGTTATTATTAAATATTTGATTGTTGTAAAAATAATTTGTAATGTGAACGAGTTCTCTTGTTACATGTATCGTATATATGTTTAATAAGAGTCAAAACACAAGTACAAATGTTGTACCAAAGGATTTGTTTTTGTATATTTGTAACGTCATTGTAATGACGTCACAATATCTGCTCCGACAAACACTGAATATCATGTAAAATATGTACGGGATGAAGATGATTTAAAACCAATAATGAGGATACTGTTAATATAGGCTCAGACACCATAAAAGTACAAACATATTAAGTCGGCCGTGGATTCAGAACGCTGTAGAATTAATATGTGCATAAGGAAATGTCGATCAAGTACTAGCTCGGCTTATATGTAATATCAATATCTTATCCATCACTACACAAGACAAGAAGATTTATCTAAAATGTAAATATTTACAATACTCTGAGAGACAGTACGTAAGTGACTGGCTATGAAGCTATTACTCTTGTACCGATATCAAAATCTAAACGAATTGGGCCCTACGTGTTTCATATTGTGTTAATCACAAATTACAGTATTGCTGAAATACTGAATGCTTACACGTTGCCGAGTTACCAACGTCTGTTCTGAAACTAGTTTGAAATCGGTTTAATAAGATCAGTTGGAAAATATGTATATTCAAATGATTACAGGTAATTTAGCTGTAATGAAGTAGTGTTTTCGCGTTTCCCTGTGGCCTTAATCAAAGTCACTCTAGCAGCTTCATTTCTGAAATGATTTGAATTAAAATTTATAAAAAGTCAACCGAAATTTTCACGGTTCCAAGGTTGCTGATACCATATTTGGAAAATTATCAATTATATATTAATAATTGGCATCACGCTAGGTACCTTATTTCTTGATCAAATTTGACACAATGCTGTAACTTTATCGCGGGTATGCAAATGTCTAAACTGCGTCGTGTTTCAGGGTCACCTATTTTGGGAATAGGTCAAGAAATAATACATTTACTTGTAGATACATTCTACTTTTTACATCTCATGGAATTTCAAAATTTCTATTACGTTCCATCAAGCCAAAGCCGTTTTATGAAAACTGACCTATAGAATTTGTTAATACACATATGAAAACTATTATGCAATAGGTTTTAAAACCTAGGTTTACTGACAGTATGCTACGCAATAGTTGGAGCGTTCATTCTATTAGAAAAAGCGTTATGAGGAACGACTTTAGAGCTGCTACAAAGGGCACTCTGCTGATCTAGTCAGACAAGTCCTTACAATTCTTTGCCTGGGCAAGTAATTTAGTCTTGGTTTTGGAATTAAAATTGGCTTCAGGATGAAAATGCTCTGTCGGATTGTACATAACGACCATTACAAACCTGATGAATGTGTATTTCTCTAAACAAAGCCGGCGAGTTAATTAGGCAGGCTGGTCCGAAGCTGTATTCCCGGGATATGGTAGAAATATATAGGTCAATAAGGGATAAAGGCTTACACATCTATTACAACTCCTTCCATAGTGTTTGTCTCGTCAGTGTAGGACATTGTACAAGAGACACACAAGTGAGTAGCACATTTTAATACAAATTCAGAATTAGATAGAGTAGTGCCAAATAGTGAATTAGAGTAGTAACAAATAATACATTAAACTGCAGAGTATAGCTCTTTGTTTCAAGTACTGTCATCATGAATGAAAGGATATTGTGTCCATGCTTACGAGTAGCTGTTCGCCTATACGCCAGCATAATAAAGCACATATGTATGTGTAGCTTATCATCACATCGTTATAAAATATCAGAGATGAGATGGCCCTTCAAGTGTCAGAAAATTGTTTTCAGAATATGAAAAAACAACAACTGTGTAATAAGAACAATTGCAATTTGTCTCACATACTTACATTTTGATATATGATAAATGTTGACATCGTGTTATAATTCTCGCAAATAATGATATTTTCTCTGTTAGTTAATTATTGTGTAAGATTCGACTGTAGCAGAGACGTGGTAATAGTCTATCAAAGGCGATCGAGTGATGTGCTTCTTATAGTTGACGAGTTTGAATTTTACCTCAGCACCGGAAAAACGAGTCTAAAAATCAAAATCTAATTTGCTTATTTTCCATTACATTTCTTCTGTACTTTGGAAATATTCAATAAATCACGAAAATGTCTACAAAGAAGAAAAATCGATAATGTTGAATGTGAGCAAACGTTACAATAATGAACCTTGGGAGCCCATAAAAGTTATCTTAAGTAAACCTCAGCACCGTTCAACATGGAATCGACTGCAGGACGAATACATCTAGAGACCAGTGTGCGTTTGTTTGGAGTGTATTATACATATCAAAAAGGGGTAGCTACACGGAAGCTATGGCTGATAGCAAACCGATTGGTGGTATTATATATCACAAAATCGAACTAACCATGTGATCGATGGACTATCAAAGTGGAGCAACAGGTTTGTATACCGAAGACTTGAAGCCGCACCACTTTGTGTTCGCTGAAAACCTTGTCTGCGTGGATTGATAAGTAAACTTTCCTGTATAGGTTTGGAAACATTATTTCCTTTCGTAAAGTGTGCAGTTATTCTATTTGTAAAAAAATTATGGTTACCCCGCATAGAAGAGGAGATCCCAGTCTTTAGTCACAAAACGAGAGTTGTATATTCAGTACAATAGGGAAATCTTTTTTAAGCTTGTTATCAACGTCTTGTCCACTTTGTGTAAAAAAACCCATTAAATGTGAACGCAAACATTTAACAATGTACGTAGTATTTGGAATACGTACCTATTATGACAATTGCTTTGAGTGACATAAAGAAACGCCCACTTTCTTTGCTGTGTGCAGGGTAAATTGTTATGTTCTCTGTGCATAGTTCGATAGTTTGACAAGACGAGACATTTGGAATACTGTAAGAGAAAGTGGATGAAACGGACATACTGTCTGTCCAACCTTGTGTTGACATTGAGTCGTCACGTGTCAATACCGGGCTCTGTCCACGACACACCTGAGTGCTTCCAGCTAAGACGGCACAGCAGGGTTGGTGATTAAGATAAACGCATTATTTAGTTAAACATCGGGGTAGCTGACTGTATGTTTGTCTATTGCCTTAGCTGTCTGACTGACAGGCAGAAGTCATAATGTTAAAGAAAAGATTGGTGTGTTGATGGATTTATGTCAGTATACGTAAAACACATACTTAGGATGGGCAAAATTGGACCCGAATTGTCGAATGAGGAAGACGACGTATTCGAAGGTGAGTATCATTTTTGATAAGAGGATTTGTATTGCGAGCACGTCTACTCAGATATAATAAATACACTTTATAAGTTATCTGCGTATATCATGGCTCTGTATTATAATGTAAGACACTAAGTTACCGCCGATTACATTAGGTAAGATTCAGTGAGACCAGATAACATCAGAAGCGATAAGAAAAGATCCAATTACACAAGATAACATCAGATATGATAAATTGTATTGAGTAGTCCGACTTAGAAAGCATTCGGCTATTTCCCAGGCATGTTTGTATACACCATACCCTCAATAACCTGTGAAACAGAGAATGACCTTGGAAATATATCTATTTCTGTGCCTTTCTAGACTGAATAAATTTCTTTTTAAATAAATAGTTTATGTCCGTTTGTGTTAAACTAGAAAAAACAATATAGATATGGATAATTGATGTCTAATTTAAGCATCTTAAGTATATCTTTTAGCATCTTTGTACCTTTCTGACACAATTTGATAACAGACTTAGATATACTGCATAACCTTGAAGTAATAAATATATGTGTGACGTTTTGCCTGCATAGCTGCGTCATAACATACATGTGTAATGTCCACATCATGTCCAAATAAACGGGAAAATAAATAAATGTACCTCGTTAGAGCAATAAATCTTTACTTTAAGATCATTCAATTTGTTTCATAGAATTTATATTCCTTTGTTAAATAATGTCCATTGTAATCCTTGAAATTGTAGACTGACTGACGAACGCATAATAATTACTTCACACATTCGATAATTAAGAACAGCATTTTATTCAACTACAGCGGGCTGCTGTGTAACAAAAATCTATATCGGGAAATATAACTAAGAAATGTTGGTTTCGGACTTATGCTGATAAACAAATTAAGTATTATAGTGTTGACAGCTTCATGGGGATCATAAAATGTGGAAACGTTATATAGAGAGAAGCGAAGTCATATTACCATGCCCTGTTGATACGACCATGGCAGCGCAACAGTTAGATGGGTTTGGTAATTAATCGGAAGATGTTAATACCCTTCAAGCTGTCGCGTGTTCTAGGTATTGAACACATGGTTCATGTACAAGCAATATTCACCGTAAATATATCTATTTGTCTTTCAGACTACTAATTGACATCTGTTTTCAATACATTTTCAATGTACATGTTTCAATAACATACTTTACCTTCTATTTAGTAGCATTTTTGATACTTTAATATACAGCTGGTATTCCTATAGCAAATTTTTCATTCACAATAAGAAAATTTTTGACAGTAGTACATAATTATATATATTTGATACCGGAGTCCTTTTAAATGTCAAACTGTTTACGAAGTAATTGAAAACTGCATTAGCCTATAATAATGATGATAAATCAATATTTTACCAATAACATCGATATACAAATAAATATTTATTGTCTTATGATGATAGTTACAATGTATAACGTATATGTTGTTATTTAGCTATATTGGTGTACGTTTGATATACTTTAATGTAAGAACAAAATAAGTTATCTCGATTATAGGAATAATCTGTATATCTGTATATTATATCATAATCCAATCATTTAATAAACTGAAGGTCATTGAAAGGCGAACGTATAGGACATGGTATTTCATGAATATTAATTAATGTACCCAATCATGCATGCGTAAAGACACGTGCGTATGTTTCTGTAGAAACCTTAAACGGTAAAAAGATAAAAATAGATCGGTAATACATCACGTGTATATTGAGAACTAAACACGTTTCTGATTTATTGTGAATGAGAAGATGAATTGCCTCTTCTAAAAATAAAATGAAGCATTTCTAAAAACTTTTACATTACGTTCAATATAAAAGATATTATTCAATGTGAAATAGTGGCGTTAGCAAATGCAGCAAGCTGGAGAAATGTCAAGTACATGAGAACGCTCCTGTACCACGTTTCGTTATAACTACCTTTTTGTCTGGGATCTAAGGAATGAAATGACATATGCATACCAACGACACAGCATCAAAACAACGGAACGAGCAATAAGTCGATAATAAATGTATTTGTCTGCCAACTGTCAGATGCAGCGATAATTTAACTATCAGAACATTCCAGAGGAAGAGAATATCACAAAGTATAAGGAACATATAATGTAAACTGGTAACTTGCCTAGTTGTCCTGTGTTGAAGGTTTTATGGTTTTTCGTTCCAAAGTCGCACACTGTCAATGCCAAAATATACAGAGCATTCGGATATGGTGTTATTTTATCTCACATGAGGATGCTTTTTTATTTATAGATCAGATCGAGCTCGCCATTAATTTTCATCCTGATAAGAACTAATGAAATGCTCATGTCAATCCAGTTCCATTCGTTAGAATGATTTATGGTAGTGCTTTTCTACAGTACTTCCAATGGACTTGAAATTGAAATCATTCTGATATTTAACTTAGGTACAAAACGTTATAAAGTTCCACGCGGTTCATCAAACGCTCACCACGAGGGTTGTATATATATATATGTTCCTGATTGTTTTCAAAATTGTCTTCGTATTGTTATCCACAATTTTTTAAGTGCTACAAAGAGTTGTATCGATAAGACTGCTAAATGCTGTAATATCCTGGAGTAGGTCTTTTTTTTAAATAAAGAATTCAGTCAATCTAATGCACACGTAAACGCAGAGAGAGATATTGATATTTATCAATCGATGATTGATCTGTCGACTTTACGTAATATGCCTTCCTATTCCGCCTAGTCTGAATGGTTCTGTAATGTAGATGGAACAAGGTATTAATGGATCCACGACCAATCAATCTGATAGTCATCACACTTTGGCGAAGGGGTGTGTTTACTGTGAATGTTTGGAGGTACCCTTATCTAAATAAATGTACAATGTTAACTCAACCTCAATCAAAACCGCATTCACCTCGGGAAATAAACTTTAATTTAATGCTGGTAAGTAGATATTTAGCATTACGACTTCTGTATTATTTCCTTGTAACAAAATGCGGATGTATGGCGCTTGTTTATGATTCAAAATACTTTTGATAGTACACGATTATATCTACTTGTTTATTGTTTTGCTGGGTTTAGCTCCCTGCTTGGATCAGCATGGGGAGGAGTATCCTTGTAGTAGCTGGATAGCATATCACTGAAAAACATGCGAGAGGTCCATCACCTGCTATCCAGATCAGTCGCGATAAAGGGATTCCCACGGACACAACCATAGTAGCACAGAGCGATCCATTATCTGGGAAACATTGAAATTCGAAAAAGAAATAACATATTAAAACGAGTAATATTTCAAGTTTTATTTACATCAATATGTGTTTGGTGAAGTGCAGATAAACGAATGAGATCAACTGTTCGAAATCTCAATTTACCGAAATATTCATTGATGCAAAACGAAGACAATTTTTATCAGGTAATGATGTTTTGCAGTAACATACTTTAAGAGAAAACAAACAACAGTACAATTAGGAACAAACAAAATAATCTACACCTGTGTCAACTTATCTCGTACTTTGATTTAGACAAATATTAACAATTCAGTAAGTTTATGCACTGCTTTTGTAATAGAATAATTTCGAATACATGTTTATCTAAAATCAAACTTACATACTAAAAACGTCAAGTTGTTTAAAAATATCAATAACCAAAGTTAATGTAAGGATTTATGTTATTAGAACATTTTTGCTTATTTATCAGATATACTTATCAGGAGAAAATCTTTTTTCTTACAAGGAACACGTAAGTAGTACATAAATAAACTATACCTCTCACGATTATGATAAGTGATATCAAAACAGTTTTCTTAAGTGGCAAGTTAAAAGAACTCCACACATTCACAGCACTTGTCATTGACGTGTACTATTATTTATGACAGTTTTAAGAAAATACCTGAAACGTATGTGAACATTTCTAAGTGTCTCTCAGTGTTGTAAGTATGGAGCATTGTTGGGCTGTTTTCCGTTTGATTTAACCATATTGTTTGTCCTAAATAACATTTGATTTCACAGGCAAGAGGTCTCCATGCCTGTTAGCCTTTGACATACATACCCCATGGTACGACTGGATCGCTTCACCGCTACTCTGTAATTATATCTCTATCAACAACCATGAAAAATTCTTTTATCAACTTGATCAAACCATAACAGAAATGAAATCCATACCGAAAGTGTTAACCTTTTACGTGAAACATTAGATACGTTTAAATGACTAACAGTTCATAGATTTTAAAATTCAATTTATTAAAAAATATTTTTGAAAGAAAAATTAAGATAAGGGAAATGTACTGTCGTTATCAGTAATTCAAATCAAATAATTAATTATTCCCTATAAGTAGAATGTTAACTTAAGATACTCATTGCTTTAACGGTTTGGGACTTGAACTGAAGGATCTAATAAAGCCGACGTCGATATATCTGTGATGCCACTTATCTCGTGCCAATGAGCACCAACTGTGAGTATATGAATGTATATAATAGTCTTGATATCAGGTATATTTTTCCTGTAATGTGCCTCTGTATACCTGTGATATGTTTAAGACTTATTGCAGATGGTAGTGTTCCAGACACAGACGATGTCCAGTTAGTCGCTGTTTTGACATATCTAACCTAACTTTCATTTTTGCCGTTCGTGCAAATGTATTAGCGGTTAAGCAATGATTCAAATATAGCGTTTTTGATTTAGAAAAACAGCCGATTTCATATTAATGGATATTTTATCTAATAGTTGTCTCACTAGGAGTTTGCATAGTTCATCAACGTTTGACCTGAAAAGGTGAGCTTAATATAGTTAAACGGATCTGTTGTTCTAATACTAACTCGACATCTTGGTTACATCGGTGAGATGTTGGAATATATCAGGCCTTCTCCCCACTGGGAAACGTAACACTGACATTGTTTGTTAGGTGATTAAAAACAAGGCCGCATGAATCGGTCTCTATGCGATCAAAGCCAGGTAGATACACACCAGGTGCAAGATTTTACACGGTTTAGTCTGATTACACAGTGTTTATGGCTGGAGT